TGAACATTTTGAAGAGTTTTAGTCTGGCTTTAGAGCTCATCATAGAACTGAAACAGCTCTGCTGAAAGTAACTGATGATATTCTCATGGCCTCAGATAATGGACTTGTATCTGCATGTCCTGTTGGTTCTCAGTGCTGCATTTGATACAGTTGATCATAATAATCTTTTAGAAAGACTTGAATATTGTATAGGAATTAAAGGAGCAGCACTAGACTGATTTAAATGTTATCTTTCTGATCAATTTCAGTTTGTTCACGTTAATGACAGATCTTCTTCATGCTCAAGGGTTACCTGTGGAGTGAATACTTTTTCAAGCCTTAATATTTTTTTTTCTATTTAACTTATAGATAGACCATTTGTTGGGAAGTATGATTGAGATGTGGGTGGACCGCATGGACAACATAACCCAGCCTGAGAGGAGGAAATTATCATCGTTGGCTCTCCTTTCTCTTCTACCTTCTGACAACAGGTAAGAATCACTGTTTCCTCTCCTGTGTCCATGCAGATTTGAACTGTAGTGTCCCAATTAGTGTCAACTATTGAATAACGAAGCACACATCAAGTTATTCCAATAGAATTACTGGGAACTTAAAGACACACTGTAACTTTTGGCCACCATGGGCACTACACTTGTAACTGCCCATATTTTGCTTCTACTAAACATCTGCCATGGTCCCTAATTTTATGACCCACATGCAGAACACACTGAGGAGACAGGTAGGGCAGATTTAAGTTTTATTTAAGAAAAAAAAACAAGGACGACACGGAGAGTTTCTTCAGGGAGTCTGGAAACAAACTGATCATGAGGCACACTGCAACAGACACTGAGAGTTAATCGAAGTATGTGTACGATGAGAGAGATGCAGTACTAAAAGGCTTACTGTGTGAAATGGGAACAATCCGCTTGGGAGTGAGTGGGGCTGCAGAGGTCCTTAGGCGCAAAATGCTGGAGCTTGCTGTCGGGAAGGTGGCTGCCAAGTGGGAGGAGGCTGGTTGGTAGATGGTTAGGCAAAGATATATGACTGTATACTAGGAGCAAAGTGTTAACTCACCAGCCTAATAATAATGTTGAGAAAAGAGAATCGGTTTTAAATCCATTATTTAATGGCCGACATTGGCCAGGTTAATGATGGTCCGTCATCTCCCAACTTACATAGTCTGTATTTCAAGAGGGGAGCCACACTTGCAGTACTGATAGTGGCGGGAGGAATCATTTAAAATAACTCATATGCATTAACTCTTTAGGTCACAGTGTCTGCTGTGTTCTTTTAATGAATTCTATCTTAAATGTGAAATTTACCGACACACTTTATATGCGTTTTCCATGAATCTCATGAATGTAGGAGTGCCAGTGGGTTTTTGGAGAAAATTCAATCCATTCCCGACCACCATAGCTGTGATTTACCAAGTCTCTCTTTAAATGTAATGCCACAAGCTGGTAAGCAGTATGAGAAATGCAAATTTGTAGTGAGCCAAAAGAAGTCTCAAGTGTGCTGGATTATTGTGATGAGTCAACACCATCTGGCCAACATCTGTCACTCACCAGTTAAAAGCAAACATATAAATACTCATGCACACTTAAAAGTCTAGTCTTCTGTTTCCTTAATCTTTTGACGGAGGATCAAACTACAGTTTAAGAACATGTCCTGTAAAAAAAAAAAAAAAAAAGCTGTCGTAAAGTCAAACCTATGCATTCAGCAGATTAAATGTATATTTAGTAGCAGATAAGTGTTTGTGTTGTGCTGATTGCTGTAATGCAGTGACAAGCAAAGAAAAAGAAATACGAGCTGTTTCTCATGAAATTTCAGGTGTAGTGTCTCAATATGAGCTTCAGTCAAGCATCAACTTATTCACATACTTCTGCTTCTGGAGAATTAAAAACGGGAACGTTTTTTTTATGTATTTTTTTTTTTATTTTCTATCAAAATACCACCTCACTCATGGTTTTAATAACTTTAAAAAAACATTGGAGATTATTTATGGTGTTTGAGGTTCATCTTCTTGTTTGATATCCCAACTAGCAGTTTGTTTTCACTGAGGTTTAGGGAGGCTCAGAGTTCTGCAAACCAGATATGGTAATTATAGGCAAAGGCAGGCATGAAATCCTTTGTTACACCCCCGTGCCTGGGCTGCAGCAGCAATAGATTATGACAGCTCAGATATGGGTTAAGTGCTGCTTGACAAATCAACTATTTAATCTATAGTTCAAGCAAAAAATTAAAGAGGTCCATATCTTGTCCACAGTTGCCCTTATCATGCTTTTCTGCCTTTTGATGCCTCTTTTGGCTCTGTAATATATTTATCTTTTGTAAATTATCTGTTTACTTTTGACCTCCAGTATGAGTACCTAACCTTTCATTCAATTATTTTAAGGCTCTATTTTAATGTCCATTCATTGCCTTTCCTAATGTGACCTTCAAGCTCATAAAATAGCTTGAAGTAAAAAGCACATTATTTTTGCTTGAAGCAGCTTTCCATCATTGGGAGCAACCTAAATGTTTCTCTGTAAAACTTATTGACTTATTACTTGAACTTAGTTTTTCAATTTCCGGCTCTGTTTCCAGCTCTCCCTATGTTTTTTTTAGAAACGTAATAATTTTGAGATAACTTCCTGTTGGTTGAGGTAAAGATATCAACTGAACGTGTTCTATGTTCAAACAGAAATTGGCATAGATAATGCACAGTGTTACAGGCAGTCAAGACGTACAAAATGATTTTGAAAGAAATGAAGATGAAAATTCACAAAACTACCAGTCCTCAAATTAATCTTTTCATTTGTAGAGAACATCAGCTTTATCAAAGACTTCTATGTGGGGTTTTCTGATGCAGGCTAGAAAGAGTATTTAAAGGAACTGTTGCCGGCAAGACTTTTTTTTTTCTGGAGAGTTCTATCTACCCCGACATAACTTCATACAACATAACTGAGCTGTATAAAGTTGTTATAATCCTTAAACTTCGCTTCACATATACAAAGTTTTATTACCCTTCACTAGAGGGGTCATAGAATGCAAAACAGAGTTTACATTGTCATTCATGAAAATCAATAGTTCAGTGGGTGAAATGGACGTACAGAGAAGTTCAGAACCCATAGACATCTCCTTTCTCTGCAAATCTCACAATTCTAAACTTCCACCATAAAACGGGTGAATTCAAACAAAGCACTGAATTCAGGGATGGTTCCTTATTTGGGTATACTTTTGTCTCGCCCCAAAATTTACTTACACACCAGCCCAGTGGTTCATGGCCCAAGAACATGAATAGAGGTAGATGTAAGACACCAGTTTAGCTGTTTAGTCTACAGTTAGGTTTACTTCTACAAGAATTACAAAGCAGGCAGATTCTCTGTTGAAAATGGGGCAGAACCATGGGCGTAAATGCAGTGTTCCAGGCTGCATGAAGAAAGGGAAACATTTTCACAGTCTTCCCAAGGATCTGAAGACTCGACAGACATGGATTATGTTTTAGAGTATCAGAAGTACTCTGCAAAGTTTGATGCTCAGCTGTTCATTGGCTCTAAGCATTTTACCAAAGACAGCTATCAAAATCTTGGACAGTTCAAAGCAGGATTTGCTAGACTTCTCTACTGAAACGAAGGGCAATAAGGCCATTACAACTAAATATAAATATCAAAAATTTGAGGTTTCAGTGAGTGAGTGCTTGTTGCTATGATGCGTTTTTGCTCAGCAGCTTCACTCGTTGTAAATCAACCAATCAGCACACAGCTCATCTAAATATTCATTAGCATACCATAAAAGGAAGAAAACCTGTAGTTTCATTCTAGGGCTTTTAATCAGGTTTGCATTAGGGCTCATAGAACTGCAAATATGCCATTTTCAGTGTTCCAATGTTACACACCCTATTCAGAGACCTTAAGGACCAGCACCAAATACCCAATATAATCATTCTATGACCCCTTTAAACCTTTGTCTCACTCTGCTGTGGATCTTTGCACAGGCAGGTGTTTACTAAGGTACTAGGCTTCCTCTGCATTGATATGACTTGTTGATCTCACCCTTAAAGATGATGGAATGTGCTTTCAAAGCAGTAAGTTACTGCAGATATGTCTTTTTGACATGCTATCAGTTGAGCCCTGATGATAAAATTGGCAATACAAGTATTTAAAATGGCATAACCTTTTGTATCACTAGATACAGACAAAAGTCCACAAACTACTCATTATAAAAGCACCTGTAGCCCAGTTAGTTTTCAGAAATGTATCAACCAGCAAGATATGGTTGTGTTTAGTCATTTTAATATTAAAGCTGTCACAACTGTGATAACAAGTTTGAAAGGCAAACTATATCAACCGCAAAGTCACAGTTGTGGCCTCAGCAACTGATTAAAGTTTATCATACTCATGAAAAATCAACATTTATATCTAAAGAGTTATTTAAAATAAATTGTTCCACTTGTTGCTCATTTTGAGTTTAGACAGGTGTGTTTTTTTCTGGAGAAGGGACCTAAAAATGAGAAAAGACCATCAACCAGTAGCAAAATGTGGGATATTTGTATTCACACTGGCAAAGCATACAGAAATCTTTTTTTTTTTTAAATGTAGGGACACACTACACACCATGTGGAGTCAAGCAGACAATTGTTTCTGGCCCTGATCCCAGTTTTTTTTGTTTTGGCTTTACTTCATCTTCATATTAGCTTATTGTTTCATGTCTACGGGAGATTAACTGTGAATACATTTTGAATTGGCACCTAAAAATTCTCTATTACTGTCTTGATGACACTAATTTGGCTAACACACATCAGTTAACGCCACGTTACTTGCAAAAGGAGCACATGAGATCTTTCAAAATGCAATTTTCTTTAACAGTTTGGATTGAAGTGAATATGGATGGTAGAGATAGTTAATTTGATATTATTAATTAAATGATCCAAGTACATAAACCAAATTCAAATTCCAACCCCCGATTCTCCACAATGATGTCTGCTGGTGAAATGGGTTCATGATGTGTTTATTTTGTACTCGGAAAATCAGAATACCACGAAGAAAAGTGTGGCTTTTTTAACCATTTTTATGTTTGTAAAAGTTACTGTAGTTATAATATACACACAATAGTTAATACGAGCCTCCACTGGCAGGAAACTGGAACGCAATCAATTCTGGGATCATGGTACTCTGACTTCCCATTTCCAAGTTTCATGGCAAAACTGAGGCTGTGATGCAGACATGTACCTAGCTACGTAGATATATACAATTCAGTCCATAAGAAAATGAAAAAGTCATGTTTCAAATAGAGCACAACATTCTGATGGGTTTGAGCTGAGTATTGTAGAATTAAAAAAGGTTAGAAGAAAATGTTAAGGGTATTGTCGAATAATAGTGAATTATTTTAAAAGAACTGCCCTCTCCACTTAAAAAAAAAAAAAATGCGCGTGCATGCACGAGCTCATTTCTCCTTGTGCACGCTGTGTTTAAAAGTTGCTGTTATTATAGCTCATACAAGCAAGGGTGCAAGGGTGCCTGAACGTCCACCCTAACCCCTAAAGCCCTCAATCACTATATAGAGCGGGGACTATGTAGTGGACTTAGTAGTGAACTTGGTTAACTGACTGTTTGGACCGATGATCACTGCTTTTTCCTCCATTGGTCACGTAACTCCTGCGCCGTCTTTATTAGTAACCTGACAGCGGGCCCAAATCCCATAATGCTTTGTGAGGAGAGCTCTCTGCGCAAAGCGTTCCAGGATATATCTGCCTCTTCTGAGGCCTTTTTTTCCTTCTCGTACACTTCTTAGACACTTTTTCTCTTACGACCCTCAGCCATGAAGGTGAGCTTCAATGACTGTCTGAAACTAGCTCACCACAGATATAGGCCAAAAGGGCACATGCACAAATGTATAGCTAGCGGGACAAGCATGTAGGACAGCCTTACATAAACATATCACCAGAATGATTGACAGTTAGGAAAACCAATTATTTAAATAATCCACCCGGAAATAAAAGATGGCCCTCTATACTTTTAAGATTTGCACAGCAGCATAATGAAAACATTAATGAATGCCCAATCTGTAGTTCAACTGCAAAACTTGATTTGAGGTTTAGTTAGAAAAAAGAAAAAAAAAACACTACTACTTTGAAAATATTCTGAATCAACTTTTGTCTAATTTTGACAATTTTTTGGGAGACTTTATATTGGAGCCATTTCACAAGGACCCAAAAAGAAAATACACTTTTACTTAGATTTAGCTTCTTGTCTGTTCTTTATTATATTTCAAGGAAAACATTCCCACCCGTAGATAATCTGGGGCAGATCGGTGTTTACTCTCAGTATGATAGTCTTTCATGCTGAGTCTCCATGCTTGCCAAACATCAACCTTTATTTGGCCTTGCATGGGTTTCACCTTTCCTGATATATGAACTGACAGTCCTTGATGTTTGAATACCCATACCCACACTTATTCTGTTTTCATATTGTTTTCCATCAATCTTTTTATATTTTTTGACACAGGAAGCCCACTGCTTTTTCTTTGCCTTTTAAGAATTACTCAAATAATTTATCAATGATTGTTGCTTGACTCCAGGCTTGGGTTGTGGATGTTTCTAGCCAACACATTTTAGAGCGTGGGCTTCTGCATTGCAGAAAAATATCACTGTAGTAAAAAATATTGCCAAATGGCAACACCATGTTATATTTGGACTTGGACTACTTTTACAGTTTGAAATTTTATGCTTTTAATATGTTTTTCTTGTTTATGAATGTCAGAGAACAAATGCATAAGCTGTTTTTCACATTTTGATTTAGACTTTCAATTATCCCCTGCCTTGATATGCCCTCTCTGGAATGAATACATTTCGTAAATATCAACGAAATTGCTGTGATGGGAATTTCTGAGGAAGTAATGCATATTTTTATTTCCTGGGCTTTTTATTTCTTTTGCTTGTATTGTGCCCAGAGAGAGGGTTTCACTGTGTTCAGATGTTTTTCTAAATTGACTGTGCTTTGTTGAACCAGCACACCTACTTGCCAGACAGCTGTTACATTAATGATGTAACCACTAATGAAACTGTGTATTCTGTGTGTTTTCAGTGTGATCCAGGACAAATTCTGTGGCATCATTAACATTTCTGTGGAAGCATTGCATGATGTGATGACGGAGGATCCAGAAACAGCGACATTTAAAGAGTAAGTAAAAATTGTTTCCTTTACTTATATATATTTATTTACCAGATTATAAAGCACACTTCACTATAAGTGGTGCTCACAATTTTTTGAAGAAAAAAAAAAGAAAAGAAAAATGGAAACATACATACATAAGCTGCATCAGGCTATTAGCCACTGATATGTAGGGAGGAGGATGAATGCTAGCTCCCGTTAGCTCCTTGTCTCGCATCAGTAAGAGCTTCTACTGGAAGATGGGGCTTTGTCAGCTCTTTATTTAAGCTCTGCAAGAGTTGAGCACAGTCTCTTCATTGGTTCAGTAGCTTTAATGCTGCAAATAAATGTCAAAATGTGTGAATTTGGAATATTTGTTCTTCGTTTTGCCTGCTGCTAGCATATTTTCCCCTTATTCTTTCATTTACAATATTGAATTTCCCCTCTGGCAGTTAGGAAAAATCCACAGAAAAGCTGCACCTTCTTTAAAGCTGCATCGAAAATGCAGCAAATCAATTATTTTATATCAAAATAAAATAGTTATACCGTATTTTCGAAAATACGGTAAATCAAAATAGACAGAAAATTATGTAGTGCAGATTAGGGCTGCAACAACGAATCGATAAAATCGATAAAAATCAATTTTTAAAAGCGTTGGCAACGAATTTTATCATCGATTAGTTGTGTCGCGCGATTAATGCGTCATCCGCGGCCGCCGTCATCACATCCACTTGACTGAAACGGGGGAAGAAAAAAAAATACGGCAGAGCGAGCCAGCGCCG